TGTCCCTAAGGTGTCAATATAAAATGGCCTGTATATAAAAAAAATATATTTTGGCCCTAAGGTGCCAATATTAAAGAAGCCTGTATTTAAAAAATATTTGGAGTTGAACTTGTTTTACATGATTATATCAAAACTGGCTTGATCCATCTGGCATTTAAATAAGTTGCCAACAATTTATTTAAATGAAGTCAACAACATACATGAAGTGTTTTCTTGTTTCTCTTCACTGTTCAACATGATTGTCTCCATCAAAAAATTGTATTTATTAGTGAAAAGAGTTAGTAGCAACTAGCAAAACTATGTAACAGGCAGAATAGTGAGTACATTACTGTGGATATTTTTGTAGCCATAATTATGTATTTTTCTATATGTGCACAGTTGTATGTGTTGGAAGCCTGCCAAATAAATGATGTATTCATGTACTTTTCATTTGAAGCGAGAAATTAATCCAATCATCCATGAGGATTTGTTTAAAGTCTTAATTTGCTGCGAGTTACATGTATGTGCAACCAATATTGACTGTATGCTTCATTTTTGCAGTCCTGCTGTAAAATGTATCAGCATTGTATGACATCAATTGGTTGTCATGGTAAGGATTACCATGACAACTAATTAACCAACCAATTATTATATTTTGTTCCAATACCAATCAGGTTATATGTGTCCCCAAAACACCCACCATCAGCAGAACAGAAAAAGATCAGTCCCTATAAATATCTGAAGGACAGTTTAGATGTACCTGAACTCAATAAAGTGAGAGGATCTCTTTTGGCAAAACTGGAGTCAATTGCAGCACAGGAAGGTGAGTTTGTATCCTAGATTATAAATCAAAACAGTCTGAGATGTGTTTTAGTTCAGTATATTCTGCAGAGGTGCTGTGGCCTCGTGGTTAGTGCACTGGTCTCCTGATCAAGCAGTCCGGGTTCGAGCCCTGGCTGGGGACATTGTGTTGTGTTCTTGGGCAAGACACTTTACTCTTACAGTGCCTCTCTCCACCCAGGTGTATAAATGGGTACTGGCAACTTAACACTAGGGGTAACCCTGCGATGGACTGGCCTCCCATCCAGGGGGGAGTAGAAATGTTCTGGTAGTCACTTCATGCTACAGAAACCGGGATAAGCTCCAGCCTGATGGGCCACTTGGCTTATATACAGACTTTACCTTTACCATTTTTTGTTCTGTTTAGTCAACCTTTTGTGATCTATCATCCAATGTATCAGCATGATAGCAAACAGTTTATTTCTGCCTTTGGATTCTATTTTATTAGTTTCCAGTCTTGCCTACGTTAAAATTCTTATTCACCATCTTCAGTTTTTGCTGGACTTACATGTTGTACATATTTTTTTTCTTACAGCAAATTCAGGGCATTAATGGCTAGTTATGTCATTCTGTTTATGTCACTTACAATACTGTGAATAAGCTACAATTGATTTTTGTCTCCAAAGTATATCTGATCGAATTCGCAAAAACATGCCCGAATTGACTGAAAGACAGTCCCACTGGCCAGAAGTCCTCTGACCACCCCCCAGCAAACCACCAGCAGATAGGCTAGTGCTTGGGCCATGTGCCCGGCCTAGCCTTAACGCCCACCCTCCCCCTCCCTGGGTTTAAGGTTGCTAGCTTAGCCTGGATTTGGGTTACGCCCGAATCCAGGCGAAAACTTGGTGGGCGTGTTTTTGGGAAATCGCTCTGATATACAGTCACATATATGTATTGTGGATAAGTAATGTAATGTATTAACTGTTATGTAGTAATGTAAACATTTTCTATTACAGAAGCTCTTTCAAGATCTCCTCCCCATTCTAGTGTGGATGGTCGTCATAATTCTTCAGTGCAGTCAAGACCTCCTCATGACAATAGTAAGTGCTGTTTGTTATACAGTTTCATAATCAATTAGAGCTTTATTTTGGAAACATATATTTGTGATTCACCAGTAAGAATGTATAATTTATGTCAAACTAAAGGTTCAGTTGAAACTACAATGCCGCTGAGTGATGATGACGATGATGATCATGTTCAAGTCACACCACGTAGACGTGTTCCTTTAACAACTGCAAGCCTCGATGATTCTGATCTAGTTGTGAAAGGTACATGTGTTTCAGTTATATAGTGATTCATACTCTGCGAATTAATCATTTATCTATTAAGTCTGTGAGATTTTTTGGAACCTAACATACTGCCTAACATACATGTGATCATGAAACGTTATGTAAGTTGTTGACTCCAAATTATCCAAACCTTAATTCTGTTGACTTTTTAATTATTCATTGTTTCTTTGTGCTCATTAACTAGTCTTTTTGAACATTGACTTCAAAAACTGTTTCAATCTGTGAGTGGCAACAAATTAGAATAATCAAGCCTTGGGTCTCTTTTTTGTATATAACATTCTTTCTAGAGTTGTAAAAATGATGAAAGTTAAAATTTCTTTGATTTTGTCATTGTACATAGGATATTTTACCTTAGTTAGATTATTACCATTGTTAAATTATATTTTATTTAAATATTTGTTTTCGTTTGATATAAACAGCTCCATATCAGCCTAGTTTATAAGCTGCCTTAATTATTCAACCTGCTTATCAAATAATATGTGGTCTGTGTATGTATAATGACTTTGGAGTAGTTAAGTACTGAGCTGTCTGGCCAGTGGTAAAGTATGAGTACATGTATTATTAACGACCCTAGTCAGCTGCCGCCATTTTCAAGGCCATCAAATTTAGTCATATTGCATATAGTGAAGTGAAATCTTATTGCTTTACTGTAACTCGTGTTCCTGAAAGTATATTTAATTATCTTTAGTAGTTTCACAGTGATTTCCTTCTTTTTGACATGCACCGAATAAAATATAATGGCCAAACTCTTGCATGTAAACAAAAACAAAGTTGTGGCTGACTAGGACCCTTTAAGAATCACTGCATTCTCTTATGGCAGGTCTGAGAAGAAGAGGAGCACCATCAAAGCCAATACCATCAGCAAGTAATTAAACCAAACAGTTTATTTTATTGCCAGTTTGTAGTGTAATTAATACATGCAATGATACCATAGTCTGTTCACCATATTTAATTAACACAAGGACAGTAGACACAGAAAATCAACCTACTCCCAACAGAGCTATCTCAATTAAGAGAAGACATCTCAGTTTCTAGGGTGGACATAAACTGTTGTACATAAATCATGCCAATATAACTCTGTCAGACTCAAGACACTCCTATCCCTTTGATCAAATTTTCTTAGTTTACCCTCCCCCTGGCATTTCTTTCAAACGTTATATGGTGTACCTGCCCATATTGATTTAGCTCCTGCAGTTTACATTGTATTTGAACCTGCTTTTAAAAGGGAATCAAGTCATTATTTTTGAAAGCCATATGACCTTAATGCCTCCACAGTCAAGTGCAGATCAATACCCTCAATCAATACACTAGATTGAGCCTCAATCAACACTAGTTTGACACCTCAGTTGACACATAATCAACACTTGATTGACATCCTGGTTGAGAGTCAACTAATTTTTGCAGACATGCCATTGAGTGTCAATCGATACATATGAGTCGGTTGACACTCGACCAACTTTCGACTGACTGTCAATCGAGTGCCAATTAAGTTGCCAATCAAGATGGCCATCAAGTGTTGATTGACATGTCGATTGAGGGACTTAATTACAACAGCACTCTAGCATGGAGGACTGGGATTTATTTCAGACCAGGTATTTGGTGGAGAAAATATGTTTCTCCCAGAACCTTATACTTAAACTGATACAATACAGAGCTCTGTTATTTAAAAGTGTCTGTGACAGATATTTTGTTATTGGTTTATGGGGATCTACCTGATATTGTGATATGGAAATCGAAAAATAGAATTGGATATTGTTGTTTTTTACTGAGCTGTAGCCATCTGAAAACATGAAATTCCACTTCCGGTTGGGTCAGACACCATGTGGAGTTTAAGGACCTGGGACTTGTCAGGCTCTGACATCAAAACAAAAATGTAGATCTACTTATTATCTTTCATAAATGTGTAGAATTTTGGACCAAAATTAGAATTATGTTTGCTTGCCTAATCCATAGTACAGTGGAATCCTGATTTTTTAAACTTCCAAGGGAAATGAAAATTAGTTCAAAAGATCCGAGATTCAAGAAATGGGGGGAGGGGGGGGGATAAACTACATTGTTTGACTGAGGAGGGGAAACGACTTTTGGTTCGAGTTATTGATCGGGAGGGTTTGAAAAATGGGGATTCCACCATATACCGAATTTCACTTATTTTTTCATTTCTATTCGTTTGGTTCAAAAAAATAAGTAGATCTGCATTCTTGTTTTGAAGTCACAGCCTGACTAGTCGGACTAGGTCCTAACCCCCCACAGTTCCTGACCCAACTGGAGTAGCAGATTTACATTGTTTGATAATTTCCATCATTGAGATGTGTGTGACTAGGGTGTGAAATTACAAGTCAATTTTTTTTTTACAAGTTTATCCAACACTTTCTGCAGGGTTGCTAGTGCATTTTAATTTCTTCAAAGATCCAGTGTTCATTAGGGTCATCTGAATGATGTTTGATCATACTGATGTTTAAGTTGATGACCTTGTAGATTCACCTCAGAACTCAAGACCAGTGAATGAAGATGATGACAGTGATGATAACAGTGCACAATACATACCACAGAGACGTGTTCCAGCATTTAATTCTTCTAGTCAGGAGAATTCAAGCCTAGTAGTAAAAGGTAATAATTTAAAATGCCTGTTTGTCAAAAGGTTTAAAAGTTGGTTAGTCATTTGTATAACTGTGTGGAAAGTCAACAACTCGAATTTCTTTTATTTTTCTCCAATCATTTTGCAGCTTCAGTGAGTCTAATATTAAGAACTGGCTTGTATGGTTTTGCTTGAAACAAACCTGACTAAGTGTACTACTTTTATGAACATTCAAATGCTTATGTTATGGCAGGTCCACTGAAACGAAGAGGAGCATCACCTCAGCCAAGAGCATCACTTGGTTAGTGTTAACACATAGTAAAGTCTTTGTAAAATCATGTGTAACTAGTAATGAATCCAAACAGATTGGAAGTAATACTCAGTCAATCCATGTTGTGCATATCAGGATATAAGGCCCCAAAGAACACTCAACAGCACTGGCACCAGACCTTTGCCAACTTGTAACCCTCCAAAACTCCAACCATTTTCTACTATCTCTTGCTCCACGACTCATTTCTATGTCCCCCTTGGTCCTGAACCCAAGAAGAAATTGAGCAGGCCATCTTGTTCCTTTTCCATGTATTTAGAATGGTCGTATATTGTTAAAAGGAAGACATCAATGCTGTATTTAATAGTTATGAAAGAGGAATAAAATTTGTCTCTTGTGAATCTCTGATTGTGCATGTATATATGCTGAAAAGTGATGAAACTGTAACAGTTTTAAATTTCAGTGAAGGTGATTATTTTAGGTACATTATATACGATAAGCATTTCAAAAATAAATTTAGCTTTATATGTGTTTATTAACAACATGTGGCTTCATTGCAATTAGATGATGAAAATGATAGTGATGGTGTAGTTAAACAAAGACGTAACCAAGTATCTCAAGAACATGAGGACTTGGTGGTGAAAGGTGAAGCTTTTTTTTTTTTAAATGTTCGCATTTTTGACCTGTTTTGCTTGTATGAGCAGTTAATTACAACAAGGGAAAAAAGGTATACATGAGCACAGTTCTTGCAGCGAGGTTACATGTACTTATAAAAGTAACAATGTGAGAAACTGTCATGATAAAATATGTTATAGGGTTGCTTTGCACAAGACAAGGCAAACTTATCAACACAATGGGTCCTCTTTTGATCAAAATGTGAAAAGAACTATCATGGTAAAGATTCGTTGAAATCAAGGCGTGGATTTGAAATCATTTGAATGTATATAGTCACTCACAAGCAGGAAGATGACAGGGGGAAAAGTTTGTCTTCTCTTTTTCAGTTTCTTCTGAGCCACAAGTGGGGAATTCTTGGTTTTCACCAGTCTTTTGATCAAAACTAAAAATCGTAACCATTCAATAAATAAATTCAAGAATCTGGGATAGATGATTGCTTTATACACAACCTCGCCAAGAATCAGGTTTCTGCTGTTTTTCATTCGCCCATTATTCGCAGAAGTGTGTCACCCAAACTTATCTAGAGCTTTGTATGGAAATGCCATTTTTGTGCCCTTCGGAGGGTCACAAACATGGCGGCTGTAAAGTAACAAAAACATCTGTCATCGAGTTTTGCTATTAAAACAAAAATTTTTACTCTAGAGCTCCGACACATTGAAATAAATGCTTCTTCTAGTGCAAGCACCGTTTATTTAGCAAGAGCTGAAGCAATCTTTTGACCGACACAACAGTCTTTTCAGGCTGCCATTTTCATGTCACACAACATAAAAGCTTGGAGTGCTCTATTACAAAAAGGAAAACTTTGTTGAGCTAAAACATTGTCAAATGTCACGTTCCTATAGGGTCTTTTATCTGATGAAACTAAAACCTCAGAAGGAAAGATAATTTCTAATTTTTGAATATGACTACGTCACATTCATACCAAGAATAGAGCTGAAAAAGGCTCCACAGATTACTGTTTAACCATTGAGCATGATGTTTATCTCTCAGGTCCATTACGGAGAAGAGGGCCTGGAACTCCTCAAGCAAGACAACCAGCGGCAGCTGGTGAGTTCATTAACAAAAACTTACTAAAGTAGATTGATTGCTTATAGGCTAGGATTGGCTATAGGAATGACTACTGGGGAAACTATTTTTTCTCAATAGAGGGGAGGTCTGAATGTTCATGGTTTTTTGTGTGCATTATGGGTGAGGAGCGCTGGACAAATTGAACCATTTCTGGTCACATTGATCTGATCAAGTTTGTGAATTTTGATTGATGCCATGCAGGTCTGTAGTACATTTTCTCTAACTAATAGTGGCACATTCTCCTGTAGGATTGGGATGAATTTAAGGTGGCATTTAAAAATGTAACTACAGTGTTAAATTTCCAACAACATAAAAAATATGTCACTTTCTTGTGGCAAAGTTTAGTAAATTGTAAAGTTTGGAATCTGCTTGTTTTATATAATAAAGAATAAAAAAGTGTGAATGATGTTGTCTATACATCAGTCTTCCAATTGATTACAAGTAAGAACCAATCAAAATGTGAGAATAATTTGACTTATAATGCATCATATATTTTCACTCATGAGCGATTGGTCTAGATGCATCACATGACTGAATATCCCCCAACTAAAACTGGGGAATATCCAAGGATACTCCCCAATGTGTTGCAAAAAATATTCGATGGTTAATTAACACAATAGCTTCCATTTGTCATGAAAATATGCTCGAATATTTGTCCATGGACATCATCTGTTCCTCAAAGCTCACAGTTTTCCTCGAGCTACGCTCGTGGAAAACTGTTCACTTCTCGGAACAGATAATGTCTGCAGACAAATGTACGAGCATATTTTTGCACCAAATGAAGAGTATTGTCTACATATTATGTGAAATGCGATTGATGTCATGGCAAGTTGATTATATATAATCTGACAACTAAAATATTCTCTATATGGGTATTTGATTTGTGAAATGGTTATCAGATTTTGGTGAAACTAAACCCTGGAGTGGATATAGGATTTTAGAGTAGGGGGTGACTCGAGATAAGGACCTCCAAGGGCAGTCCCCTTTAGGGGGTATCCTCCCCTGTAAAATTTTTAAAATTGAGGTCCTATAAAGTCAGCATGTTATATTGTCTCACTTTTTTTTATTTAAGGGGTTCGACCAAACCCCCCTGAACCCCTCCCCCCTCCCCTATAGATATCCTCCTTAGAAACCTAGTGTTGTGTAACATGTGGCGCATATTTTGATAGGTCCACTGAAAAGGAGAGGAGAATCCCCCCAGTCCAGAGCGTCACTTAGTGAGTGTGTCATAATTTGTTGACTATTGTATGTAGGTCTTTGAATTCAAAACTGAGCAAACCCAATTACTCCAGACCAGAAATAACTACTGAAACATCACCAACATGACATCGACTTTTAACAAAATGTCCTAAATGGCCATAACATTCTAACCACATCACATGTAAGAACTAATTTCCGACTTACATGTATTGAAATATGACAACTGGATGACTGATATTTCAAGGAAAGTGGGTGCTTACCAAGAACAAACAAGCAAGTCTTATGATATACCACTTGTTTGTTTAACATACAATTACATGTACATGTACCCATATAACTTAAATTAAATATATAATTTTCATTGCACCCAACCTCCTTTTTTTTTTTCAACAAGATGTGGCGTCATTTGAAATGGATGACGATGACGAGAGTGACAGTGTAGTTCCACAAAGGCGTGTTCAAGTATCTCAAGAACACGAGGACTTAGTAGTAAAAGGTGAAGAAAGGCGTTTTATGACTTTCTTAGGGTTTGCAGTGCAATTCCGATTTCTCGAACCCTCATTTTTTCGAACCTCCCCATAACTCAAGCCAAAAGTCGTTTCCCTCTCCTCAGTCAAACACTGTCATTTTATCCCCGATTTCTCAAATCATCAGATTTTCCGAACCAAATTTAGTTTCCTTTGAAGGTTTCTTTTCTTTTCTAGGCCGTACTGATATGATTTTGAAAGCCATGTAGTAGGCAGATACCATAGTTTATAGAACAGTTTTCAGCTGGGTGTTGTAAAACCAAAACCAAACCAATAACATAGCCAGTCAAGGTACCGTAGTAAACCCAAATCAAAGTAATTGCCTGATTACTTTCAACACTCGATTGACAATTGCTCTTACTATCAGTCATTTGCTTTGTTGTTTGTCCATTTGGTTGGTTAGTCGATTATTTGCTTGCTTTTTATTTTGTTTGTTTTTCTGTGATAGCCTAAACTTTATATAGTAGGCAATTGTATTTTCGAAGACAGTTTATAGTTTGTTGAGGGAAATTTTCTTTTTATACTTTAGGTCCATTACGGAGAAGAGGGGGCCCTCCACAAGCAAGACAACCTGTGGCAGCTGGTGAGTTGGTGAACAAACGTTAATGTCAAGGTTAAATCAACACGGTGAATTACAGGTGTGTCACTCATTTTCTTTAATTTCTTTTTCTTTCATTTTTTTCAAGCTGACAGTGACGAGGACTTAACACATGTGCAGCCCCGAAGACGTGTCCCAGCTGCAAACAATCAACATCAAGACGATTACAACAGTAAGTGTTTGAAGATTGCTCTCCTCTGTTATGATACTTCTGAACAGTTACAGGTTGCGGGACATTGTAAGAAACTTAATAGTCTGATTATGATAGACTGCAGAATAAATGTGGCATGTTGGAAATCAAAGATTGTGTTTTCAATTTGTCTCCAGGCTCTTGGCAGCGAGAAGAGTTGAGATCTGATCATGACGTTCCTATAGTAACAGCAGGTACATGTAACTTCACTTGACGGAATCTCTTCCCGCAGAACATATAATGAGCGATAACAATCTAAGTTTGTTTTATCCACACCATTTACCCCTTTTTGTTGTTTGAATATATGTATATTGTTAAAATGGATTTATTGCATTGGTCTGAAGTTTAAAGTGCAAACATAGTCACTGTATTGGTTCTCAGATCAAACTGTATGTTTAGATTCATTCAGTTCTAACTTATTTGCTTTTGCTGAAATGTTGAAAGCGTTTTTAACTCATACATGTCTAGGTAGAGAAATAACTGTGACTTTTCGTCAAAGCTGATAATAAGTTTAGCTATCTCTCTCACTGATAGTGAATTTGTTCAGACTCCTTTTTCTGTTACATAATTATTTTTGTCTTTTCAAATTCTACTTAAAGTGAGAAGACGTGAACCGAATCAAGTCAGAAGACGTGAACCTGGAGCGCGGCCACGGACAGCAGAGGATGTCGAAATACGCAGGCGCAGTTTGCCTCAAGCTCCAACACAAAGTAGAGGCGCTCCTGGCCAGGTTTCTGCCAGTAGACGTCCTAACACGCCACCACACACACCATCACCAAGGAAACCAGTGACACCCAGAGGTCAGCTGGCAGCACCTAGGTATGAGATAACAATCTAAAGTTTCTCACTTGTTGCCAGTTATAATAATAATAATAAGTAGGTAAAAAAGTCTTCATACAAGCCAAGTGGCCCATCAGGCTGGAGCCTATAATAATAAGTAATAAACTTTTATTTATCCACGGTAGCGATTAAAGCTGTCAGCTCCGAGAGGGTTTTTTCCGGGTACTCCGGTTTTTCCCTCTCCTTAGAAACAAACGTTTCCAAATTCCAATGCGATCCGCATTATTGTCAAGCACTTTATCATGAGCCTCTGGTTCGGGTGATTACGCAAGCACTCCCTGTGTTTGACATTAAATACGCATTTACATTTTTTTTTTAACTTTACCCTTACCTATTACAAGCCTTTTATAATAAGGACTTATTTTAACCTGAAAATGTTAGTGTCTTTCTTTTTTTCATGTTAATTCGGTTTTATCCTAATTACAAGTATAACCTGCAAGCCACACATGTACGCACTGCGCACCTATTTTTTTTATTTCTCCAAGGAGAATCCCAACGCCTCGAGGAGTGAGTCCGGCAAGATCCAATGGTGATGACAGTTGGAGTGAGGGGTTCTACTGATCACATGCAGTATTGCTCAGCATTTAGGCGAGAATGCACGGAAGTCTCGTGCCACTGCAATATTCAGAGACCAAATCTAGTGTATTTTATTTGCGTGGACTACCAACTATTTAGTTGTTTTACGCAAATTCAGTGATAAGGGTGAACTGGTCTCGAACATTTTGCGTTCTCGACAAAATGAACAATCATGCAATGTGGACAAATCGAGATCTGGAAAATTGGATTCAAGCCATGCTATACATTGTGCGGGATGGGTGGGTAGTCAGTATTTGTTTTAACATATTTGTTTATTTTGATTTTATTTTTAAGTTTTAACCCTACACTAATTGGACCATTTTTAGGATGGCGTCAATAGCCCTTTTTACGCTCGTTTCCGTCTTGGGTGGAGACACGTTCTTGTGTCTGGGGGCGGTGATCTTTTGGTGCTGACCAAAAGGATCGCGGTCTCCGCAAACGAGATTGTTTTAGGGAATATTGATGACATAAGTTGTGTTACAACAAGTCAACTAGGCGCTCACCTGACTTGCCAGCTTCTCTCGCTTCTCAAGACTTGCTAAGTTTGATGAAGATTATCCCAACATAACAATTTGATATTCAATCGGAATCCGGTGATCCGGTGACAGATGAACGATCGCCTGTGGCTGTGAAAAGTAGGCTCTCAAAGTAAAATTATAGCAGAAAGTCGTCGTTTTAAGGTGGTTCAAGACAGTTCCAGCAGTTAGATTTTGATGGGTCGTTTATAACCACTCGTTATCACTTGATGCTACAATCGT